CACTCGTCTCGCCTGGCCGCCCGCCTGCCCGCGGGATGCAGGGGCACCCAACGACCGGCGGCGCTGGGCGACCGCCGTCGCCGGCCCTGACCCTGTGCGCACGCGAGCGAGGCGCCGCCACGGCCGGGGCCAAACCCCGGACGGAGCGCCTCGTCAGCTGCCCACGCCCGGCCCAGTCGATGGGTGCGCCTTTGGTGGTTGCAGGGGCCCGCGGCTCTCGCGCCGCCCCTGGCTTCTGGCCCTTGCCCGGCCCACCCCAACCGTGTATTACGCAGCCCTCTTGGCATGCACATGCTGCGCCCCAGTGCGGGCCCGCCGCCGGCGCCACACGTGCGCCTGCGGAACAGGGGCGCCCGGGGCGCGCGTCGCCGCGCATGGGGCCCCCTCGCAGCCCCGTGCTTGAGCGGCCCTTGTCACGACTTTTTACCACTCCCTCAGCTTGAGACCGGCTCCGTTTGACATACCAGGAGCCGGCGCCGCCCGGCGCACGCCCTACAGGCGCCTACCCTCTCGCTGAGCCAGACAACACGCGGCCTTAGGTGACGCGGCCACCCTCTTACTTTTGCGGCTTTATGTAGCTTTCACAGAAACGCAGGGCGCTCGCCCCCAGTGGGTGCGCCATGACACTTGGCATGCTTTTCAGTTCTGGCCGCTGGCTTGGCGAGGACGATGCCGCTGGCCGACTTGGGGCGCAGTCACAGCCCGGCCGCGCGGTGCATGGCCGCTGCTACATATCTCACAGCGCGCACCCATGCAAGGTGATGGGGGTTGCCGGGATGGTCGGCTGCCATGTCGTCGGCGGCGTCCTCCCACAGCCGCGCGCAAGAGACCAGTGGACAGAACACCACCCCCCTTCCCCGCGAGGCACGCGGCTTCGTGCCACCCGCCGCGGCTGGGCTATGAGCGAGAGCGCGCGCGCACGAACCGCGCCCCTTGCCTGCTCGTGCGCACGGCCCCACCCCTGGTACCCCAATGCACCCAGCCCCGGCCCTGCGCCTGCAAGTTGGGGCCGCGTTGTTGTCCTGGAGGGGTGCAGGGCCGCCTGCGCGGATGGAGTGTCTCACCTCCCTTCTGACTCCCCCCCCTCCCGCGCCGCACCAAAGAGTGAGCACTGAGAACAGCCATCCCCACCCCCAAGCGTGCAGTCAAAACAAATCACCTACACGCGCCCGCACATGTTTGGTCAGCACACCCCCTTTGGTTTGTGGTCGGCCCAAAGTCGCATTTCCTCCTCATCCGCTGCCCCTCCACGGATCCCAGTTTGCCTCTGGCTGCTTTGGTCGCCCGACGCTTTTTGATCGAGAGATGCCCGTTCTAGGCGCCCGTTGGCGCGACGCCAAAGCCTCGCACCGCCCACGGCACGATTCACGGCCGATCAATTGCCTATTCACGGCGCGCGGCCGTGGCCGGCCGCCGACAGGGCTGCGCGGCCAGCGGCCATCCGCGCGGGGCGGTGCCGCCGCCGCCCCCGCCGGTCGGCTGAAAACGTTTCGGCTGAATTGCGCAGCCGTCCGCATCTGTACTGCAGGGCAACGCCGCGGCGCGCCGCGCCCCTAGCCGTTGTAACGCCCCATCTGTTGATAGGCTGGGGGGTTTGCGCGGTTGCAGCGCGCCTGTTGTGGCAGCGAGCCCTGTCTCGTGCGGGGCTGGGTTTGAGGCAGTCACCACAACAAGCAGGACCTTGAGCTGGCCAGGGCCATTGAAAAAATCGCAGGGCCAGATGTGTGAACCATGTGCTGCTGCTCAGTCACAGGGTGCACATGTGTGGTGCATGTCTGTTCGCGGAACCACTGCATTATCGGCCGCCGCAAGCCGGCGATAGGGGCGAGTGCAACTGGGGGCCTGTGCGTGCAATGTCCTGCTGGGTGCAGCAGTGAAAAACCTTGGGAAGGGCAAGGGGGACACCAGGGACACAGGAAGGCAGGGCGGGACAAACTTTTCTGAATGGGGGGCATGAAGGTTTTGGAGAGGCATGCGGTTCTCAGCACGGTCGTTTTGACACAATTGTCGACAAAGCCATGCCCAAGGCTGCCCAGCGCAGTGCACACCAGCAGCCCTGCCCAACAGTTTGGCACTCCCGCGCAGGAATGCATGCTGCACGACTCCCTACTCTGGTCTTTGATATCGAGTACCCATGCCAGGACCTCCAGCCGTAATGGCGGAGGCCTCCGCCAGAGGCTCATCAGGCGCAGCGGTGTGAACGACTGGGCAAGCCACGCAAGCCCGTCAGACGCGCATGGAGCCGTGTCATGGGCGTGAAATCCAACCATATACCTGGGTCTATCTATTGCAGTATACCTGGGTATCCACCTTTTGTCTGCTGGTACCGTATTACGCGCAAGCAGGTGGCTGCACTCGTCATCGACCATGGGCTGCGGCTGGGTAGGTACCTGATGGGGAAAGGAAGGCAAGCAGCTGCCGCCCACTGCCTTCTCAGCATCACAGCGTTGCATCCGAACTACACCATAGGTCACGCGGGACGATGGCATCGGTGCTTGCGCGTCAAGGTTCAGCTCAAGGCTGACGTCAACATGCATCCGATCTGCCGTCAAAGCATGTCTGAATACACCAAAATCTCGTAATGTGATTTCGGAAGGCGCGCACGCCTTTCCTGGCCCAGTTTGTCGCGCCCTGTCTTTGAGCTTTGACTGTCCGCAACCCGCGCCAAAGCCAGCGGGAGTACGGTATGCCGTCCAGAGACTCTGCAGGGGATGAAACAAGTGGAATGAATCATTTCAGCCGTGGCTCAGCAGGCCGTCTCTCGCCGGGCAACAGTGCTGCAGCGCAGCACGTGCTACAGAAGCAGCAGGAGCAGCGTCGGGTGCCGCTGGACAAACAGGGAAGTGGACTGCAGCACAAGACATTTAAGGACAAAGTCCAGGCTGCAGCGCAGGCTCAGCATGCGGCTGATGTGGGCGCTGCGGCGGCGCTCGAGCGCCAAGACCGCCAGTCACTCGCAACGGGCATGCTCATGGACGGCCGGCCGGCAGCTTTCATCGACTTTTTCGAGCTTTCTCAGCACGTAGGGCAAGATGGGGGCGGGGCTGGCGGCGACACCAGCGCCCATGCAAAGGCGTCGGGCGTGGTGGAGGAGCAGGCGGAGCGGCCACAGCGTCAGGCAGAGCAGCCGCTGCCGCCTGCAGGGCTGTTGCTGCTGCGCGACGAGCTCGTGCGCGCGGACGTGGCTCTGAAGAGCGCCGACCCTACAACGGCGTACAGCGCTTACAAGCAGCTGGGACGATACTTCACGCAGCTGATGCAGCTGGAGCGCGCCGCCATGTTTTACGGCCGGTGCTGCCAGGTGGGGGGGCTGGGCGCATACCAATCAATTTGTTGATGCATTGTTTGGCCAAGCGACCCGCAGTCGGCCTCCTTTGCGTGTGTGGCTGGCACCACGTGTGCGCATGCGTGCGTGCGTGCGTGTGTGT